TTGCGCATACCTGGGGGTTTTTCAATACGCTGATCCCGAAAATCCACTTTTGAAAGCTTGAAAACGGCGAAATTGAGCGTTTTTAATGCCCTTCCCTTTGATATTGGACGAGTGGAGCAAGGCCAATGACGCTTTAAATTCGTGCCAGGACCCAATGGTTATAGCGTTGCGGCGGGCAGCCTCCAATGGTGAGAAGGAAATTGCCAACTCGCCCAGATGCGTGTAAGATTGGCCTGCGCGTGTAAATTCGAGAGCGATTTTCTCGGCAGGGAAGGCATGCTGTGCAACCGAGATTGCATTGTTTTCATAGTTGGGCGATAAGGAACCTACCGCGTTAAAATCCCGAGTTGTTGGAATTTGCCGATCCACTGCCTTTAACTCTGTGCTTTATGCTGCTGGAAGTATCTCGCCTTGTGACATTATGACCTATGATATTGAAAAAAAAAACCAACGCGCAGCATAGTATCTACTTTTTTCGGCTATTCCGCAGATGCTGTTGAAGAAGAAGTTGAGCAGCTTTCTCGTCAGCTAACAAGACGTATGCCAGAGGAGGTGAAGCCAGAGTTCGACAAGGCCCAAAAAAGTGTGCAATATTTCCTTCCCATGTTGCGAAAGCATATGCGATCTGGCTTTTTCCCCATTACTTACCGCAAAAATCTGATGGACTTATTAGCAAAGCTAGCTCCCATTCCGACTAGCACGGCAGAGGTGGAGAGGGGATTTTCTATCTATTCTGTTATCAGAACGCAACGCAGAACTCGTACAACGGTGGAGCATCTAAGCAATTACTTGAATGTCAACCTTCTACCAAACATATTGTTATCTAAAAACTTCATTTAAAGGCAGCGTTCAGGCAAATCTGGACCTATGACGCTCTCACTTGGAAAGTAAACTTGAGGACCTAAATAAGACTCTGCCCAAGCGGCAGCTCAGCGGCTGCTCTAGCGGCTGAGATATTCTCCCCGAAACTGGACCCCGGGATCGTATTCGCATGGATTCGTGGCGCTTTCGCGCGAGGATCCACGCGAAACTGATGTGCCGAGCCATGAATCCATGCGAATACGGTCACGGGGCATAGTTTGGAGCCCAATATCTTAGCTGTGAGTGCACTATCTGAACTGCCGCTTGGGCAGAGTCTTATTTAGGACCTCAAGATTACTTTCCACCTGAGAGCCCCATAGGTCCAGATTTGCTTGGACGCTGCCTTCAAAGGATTGATAAGTGGTCCAGGCAGGCTGTCATCGTATGACTTTTCAAAATATCCTAAAAGATGGTGTGAAGAAACTGGTCACCTACCTGCTGACTTCCTGGTGCTACCAGGGGGCCAGGAAAAAACACAAAAGCGCTTAGAAGAAGAAGAACGTTTTAAATCCATTTTCGACTCAGAACGCTTTTGACGCAATTCTACTTCTACTCCGATGATCTTTTGAAGGAAGAAGAAGACCTTTCAGGTAGCGAACTTGTTGTCTCTGACGTTAGCGATAGTGATATTGTTGATGATGACTTGCAGGAATTGCAAGTTGTTCCTAACTGGTACATCCTTTTGGGATAAACCTTATTGCTTTCGTTTTTTGATGATGCAATGAAATAGGAGCACAGATCTTCATAAAGTCAATTTTTTGATTTATTATTTTTTAAAATCTAAAATTTTTTTTTTCAATTTGTACCTAAATAAGGTGCAAATTAGAGCTCTTCATACCACCTTTTTTACCTTTTCCCTCTTCCTGCTCCCCCCCCCCTAGGCTCACATATCTCCTTCACCCTGGAAGGTCGGAAACAGCCGAGACCCCCTTCACCTGAGGAGAGCCCGGCTCCCCTATCGCACCTATGGTCGGACGCGCGGTGTCCAGTCTCTGCGTGCGATGAACCGCCTCTACAGTGGTGGCATAGCTCTGAGACAAACGGTCTTCGCA